AAGGAAAAAAAATTTTAAATGAACCCTGAGTCTTTTCAAACAACACTGGTGCAAGTCCATTTTTCATTGTGTGCCCTTTTGAGACGTTTACATTGACCATGACACTACATTCACAGACGCTGGGCAGTCCCAGTCCCATCATCCCTGTCAACCTGAGGGTATTAAGAGTGGAGGGGTGGAGTCCAGCCTGTCCATCGGGTCACAGCCTGAGGATGCCTCCTGGTGGGCGTGGCCTTCTCATGAGGATTCTGGGAACTTCCTCTCTTCTCCCTGGAGGTGGTTCACACGCTCTCTCTGCTTCACCTTCCTGGTGACAAGCCACGTGGAGCCACGCTGATGGCAGCCAGAAGCCTGGAGAGGCATCCACCGCCACTGGCTCCACAGGACCTTCCACCCACCAGCCTGTGGTCTTCCTGCATTCCGCATCCTTGCATGGCTGCGTGAGTCCTAAAAGGAAATTACGGACTAGTATCTAACATACAGGCTAATACCAGACTTATGGACTTGATCTGGACTGGGCTGGGATGTTTTCTCAATATTCAATTGCTCTTGGATATCAAGCTCTGTCTTAACACATTTGAGTGTCTCTGGATTTGTTTCTGTAGTCAACCCGGCCTCACACAGACGCCTTCTCATTGTTGTAGAAAATGTGAGAGATTTTGTGTGCGTGTGTGTGAGATTCTTTTGCAGAAAATTCAGTAAACAGTAAACATCTCAGGACCTGCCATCATCAAAAATTTTGTAATCCAGTTCGGCCGGTGCTCTGCCATGGCATATGCTCTCAAACACTAGTCAGACGGTCACATTTTAAGACACGTTGGGTCAGGGACAGCTGCATAGCTAAGGCATACACACAAGAGCACAAGGGAGTTTCAGACATGTTGTGGGGAAATTATCTTCTAATTCCACTTTTTGGTAAACGCTTCTAAGTTTCTTCACATGCACCTGACTCACATCCCCCATTCACACGCACGAGCAGTCAAAAAGGCTGCTATAACCCATAGCAACCCTAGAACCACAGAGCCAAACACGGCCTGGTCCTGCGCCAGGGTCACAAATGCTGTTCGGTGTGGCAGCCATTGTGCCAATCCATCTCCTTGAGCCTCTCCCTCCTCGTCAAAGACCCTGTACTTTACCAAGCCTGAGGTCCCTTTCCGGGGACTCGTCCGGACCACGTGAGATGCAAACTCACCATCCTGCTTCTAAGCAGCCCGAGGCTGCACTTCTTATAACACTGATGTGTTGGTTCTTCTGACAGGCCATGCACAGCACCCTTCCCCAGGACCACCCTTCCAAGCCACCCATCCCGCTTCCTTATTCTGAAGCGACGGGAACACGCCAAGGCTTGGGTCAGGGGCACCCGAGTCCTCACCGCGGCCGTCTTGCTTTGCAACACTCTGAAGAGGTCTTGTGCAGTAGATTCGCCCAATGCAGCACATCCTTTGGTCTCTTGACTGCTGTTCCCGTGAGCCTTGATTGTGGACCTCAGCAAGGTGACACCCCTGACCACGTCTGTCCTCATTGACGGTGCTGCTGTCTGTCGGGCCTGTTGTGAGGACTTGGGTGTTCCTTGAGGTTCGGTCCACAGTGAAGGCTGCCAAGGAGAGGGTGCCACAGACTTTAAAACCTCAGCTCTCAAAAGCCCATCTCATCAGGGACCGACCCAGGGGTTCCTTCTCCCGATTCTTTCAGGACTGCCCCGACAGGGGGGTAGCTCGGGGCTCTGCTCCCAGCTATGAGAGCCCATGGGAAGCCAAGCTCCTGGTTTACAGTCCTTGGAAGCCTGGTCACCAGCATTGCCCTGAAGCCCAAGGCATGGCAGGTTGGGACTTGGCTGCAGCCTGAGTCACAGGCTCCTATGGTTTCCAGCCCAGGGATTTGCTGGGACAGGCCACCAGCGACAGGAGCCAGAGGCAGCTCTGTCCACACGCACTTTACACTGGGATGTTCTGACGAGAAGCCCAGGCTGCTGTTGCCCCGGTGCCCATGGCCCCATGTCCATTCCCTGGGGATCCCAGGACCAAATCAGGGCCAGGAATTGTTGCTGGAAGGACACATGGGCTCCTGCCTTCTACCTTTGAGCTGCCCCTCCATCCAGTTTCAGACTGCCCAGAAAAAGGCAAGGTGGCACAGAGAGAGTCTGTGTCTCCTCCACCTGAGACCCCCTTGAGTCCTCTTGAATCCCCCGGAGGTCCTTGATTTAATCACCTTGGTAAAGACAAGGTTTTCCATTGAGGCCATGTCCATGGGTTCCAGGAGCCCTGGGGATGTAGTGATTATACGTTGGGCTGCTAACTCTGAGGTCAGCAGTTCAAAACCACCAGCCAGCTCCTCGGGAGAAAGATGAGGCTTTCAACCCCTGTAAAGCAGTAGTCTTGGAAAACCCCAGGGGCTGTTCCAGGGTCACTAGGAGTCAGAGTTGACTCCATGCAGTGAAAGTTTTTTGGTTTGGTTTTGTCATAGGTTCTTGGAAGTGGACTTTTGGGGGGAGGGAGGATGTGGGCACCATTCACATCGGTCAACTCACTGGATCAGAGCGTCCCATCTGGCTCTGCTGGTCTGCTAAGGGGCCTAGAATGTGTCGTTGTTTGCCCCTAGCCTGAGCAATATTAAAAAAAACAACCCAAACTCACTGTCATTGAGTCAATGCTGTCCCAGAGCAACCCTGTAGGACAGGGTAGTGCTGCCCTGTGAGTTGAGATTAAAACTCGTTACAGGAATAGAAAGTCTCCTCTTTTTCTGGAAGAGCTGCTGGTGGTTTTGAACTACTGACCTTGCGGTTAGCAGCCCAATGCATGATCCACTATGCCACCCGAGCCCTTTGAGCAGTACTAGGCTCTTATAAAGGAGGCCGAGTTCACCATCTCCCCATCACTCTGTGCTCCAGAATGAGTTGACCACAGGGCTATACATTGTACTCTGCTGTGTGTGTGTGTGTGTGTGTGTGTGTGTGTGTAGCTGATGAGTTCCTGTCCTTGTTAAGTGCCTTCTGGGCCGTTCCCCCTCCTAGTGACCCCGGGTCCAACAGAACGGACCATGGCTCAGACACCATCCTCTCCATCCTCACCATGTTCTTGTGCTGGGCCCCAGTGGTGCAGCACTGTGCCCGTCCACCGGGTCCAGGCCCTCCAGTGGGTGCCTCATTCTTCCTATCCAACCGTGATGGCGGACAGTGATGCCAGGAGTGACAGCCTGGTCCCACTTGAGCAAGTCCCTGCCACCAGGCTGCCCAGGCCCGCTGCCAGCGGGTCTACAGCAGTGAGCAGAACGGCTCCATGGTTTCCAGACGGCACAGGAAGGAAGGCAACAGACTTAAAGCATTCGGCTTGTCCAAGTACCCTCCAAAGACTGAAGTTGTCGGGGAGCTCTTGCTTGGATCCGCAATCAATACTCCGAGCAGCAGCAGCCAAGAGGTCAAATGCCGATTTGCATGAGGCAAATCTGCAGCACAAAACCTCTTGCAGAGCGCTGGGGAGCAGGCGCAGTCGCACCGGGGACTAAGGTGTCCCTGGCCCAAGTCATGGTGTTTTCCATCGCCTCACAGCATGTGGGAGCTTGGATAAGGCAGACTGCAGGGGCATGGATGCGTCTCAGTGAGGGTGCCGGAGAAGGCTCTTGAAGGTCGTGCGGGCGGCAAGAACCAGCGGATCTGTCTTGGAAGCGGGGCGGCCCGTGCCACTCCCTGGAAGGGAGGATGGCGAGACTTCATTGCAGGTACCTTGGACACAGGATCAGGAGAGACCAGTCCCTGGGGAAGGACCTCATGCTGGGCAAAGTAGAGGGTCATTGAGAAGGAAGAAGGCCCCAAGGAGGATTTGATCTTTGATGGCGGGTTGACAAGTAGCAGTTGTGAGGATGGTATGGAACCGGCAGTCTCCCGGTGTTTTACGCGGGGCTGTTATGGGTCGGAACCCACGTGATGGCACTGGCAAGAACCACGTCCCTGTAGCTGTGACTTGAGAGCCCGTCAGTGGTCACTTTAGACACCACCCTCCGTGGTGACGTCAGTCCAGCCTGCAGCCCCGTCCATTCACCAATGCCACTTCCCCGGTTCCCGGGGGTTAA